ATATATATATATATATATCCTATGGAAAAAATATGACTAAATGTGAGCAACGATGAAATCTAGGGAGAATGGGAAAAGAGAACACTTATATATACCATCATAAAGAGATACTCAAAATTTCATGAACACATAACGAAGAAAGACGGCTTAGAAAATTTGACACTCACAGGACGCATTGAAAGAAACAGGGACAGAAGAACGTAAGTGCATAACCTACCCAATGAGTGTGCGTAAATTGTAGGCAGAACAGAGATTGGGCGAGCTAGAAAAAAGCTACAAAAGAAAGGAAGATGTGGAGAGCCAGAATTTTGACACATCCTGAATGGAAAAGCCACATAAAAGAAGAAGATTCTAGTATATATGTATATATATATATATATATATATATATATATATATATATATATATATATAATGGGGCGTGCGTGCGCTTTTGGCTTGTCAGCTCGTGAGAATAACGATTTTAATGGAAATCTGTTTTAAGTATATTTGTTCACATCAAATATAAAATATTCTAAAGTGACACACATATACATGCATGCATGCATATATATATATATATATATATATATATATATATATATATATATATACACACGCACGCAAACCGATGAACGTATACATACACACGTTAACACTGAGGTAAACACTCAGAAGCGCATGTTCCGCTATTTATTGTGTGGCCATTTTCCTAAACAAATTTCTTGTTGTGACGTAAATCTAATTCAGAGCGATGGATCAGCATAACCTAGCAATATATTTTTCTGTTACTCGCTGGAATTTCAACCAATCATCTTTCTGGATTTGTTGCATCTCCTCCTTCTCTTCCTCCTCCATTTCCTGCCCCCTTCTCCGTACGTTTCTTCCTTCATTTGCCTCCTCCTATCACTCTACCCTCGCATTCCATCTCGTTATCACATTCTGCTGCCATCCTTTTCTTTCTTTTTGAATTGTCAGGAGAGGAGGGCGACTTTTTTCTCCGATTTTTGCCTCACAATTTTTCTATGCTCTCTGCACTCTGCTTCACCAACGTCTATTTTTCAAATACGTTTGTCTTTCGTAGCCACGCCTTCTTCTTCTTCGTTTTTTTTTCTTTTCTTCTTCTTCTTTTTCATATTATTATTATTATTATTACTAATATTATGATCATTATTGTTAACTTCTTTCTTTACTTCACTTTCATCATTTCATTTTACTGATGTGATCTCCAATAAAACACTGTTTCTTCTTCTTTTCCACCTCGTTCTCATTCTCCTTCTTCTACTTTTCTTCTTCTTCTTCTTCTTCTTCTTCTTCTTTCTTCTTTTCTTTCTTTCTTTCTTTCTTTCTCTCTCTCTCTCTTTATATACACAGACACACATATATAAATATATGTATATATTAAATGTTGCGTTTAAGTTCTCAGAATAAATCTTATCATATATATATATATATATATATATATATATATGTGTGTGTGTGTGTGTGTGTGTGTGTGTGTGTGTGTGTGTGTGTGTGTGTAATTTTATATATATTATTTATATATTAGTGATAGATCTAACATATTTAGTTGGATTAATATGAGTTTGTTACTCTGGTTTGTCTAACGATTGCAAGGGCGTGAAACTCAGGGTCACAAACTCACATCAATTCAACTATATATATATATATATATATATATATATATATATATATATATATATATATATAAATATATATATATGAATAAATATATTTTAATATATAAACTATGTATATTTGAATCTCTCTCTCTCTCTCTCTCTATATATATATATATATATATATATATATAACATCTAGTTATCCATCTTTTCTATATATATATATATATATATATATATATATATATATATATATATATATATATATATATATGTGTGTGTATATATATATATATATATAACTAAATGTCTTACTCTATTCATTTTTCTATTTTATATATATATATATATATATATATATATATATATATATATATATATATATATATATGTATGGATTCCAGTTGAATTCATTACATTCACTTACGTGCTAATACCCTTGGGGTTCTTTATTAATCCTCTTCTCTCTCCAGCCACAGGTAAATAGCAGGCCAGACTGTGTTCTATAGCCTTGGATGGTAACTGGTCTAAGAGAAGAACAATTCTGATTTCAAAATCTGCGGAACGTCGATTGGGGACCTTGTGGCGCGTAGTGCACCAGGTCTCTGTATTTTGCCCTCCAAAAAGTGTGGCAGGTTCTGTACAAAGCCTTCACCACTATAATCAAATCATATGTGCTGGTGTCTGGGCTGTCGATTTCTAGGAACTGAACTGCTTAACCTTCATACCTCGAATACTGTTCACTATATATATATATATATATATATATATATATATATATATATATATATATATATGCATGTGTGTGTGTGTATAAAACTGCTTATAAATAATAATGTAGATTTTATCTGTCAAACCGTTATATTAACAACATAATTAACAGTTCAAATTAATTCACCTCCCCACTCTCCACTCACAACTCTTTGGGTCTTGTCACTGGATGTAACTAAAGCCTTTATCCACTGGTTGGTTAGATCCAGTGACAGGACCCAAAGAGTTTGAGTTCAATACCTGGTTACGGCAGTGGAGAACTTGGAGAGGTGAATTAACAGGAGATAACTGATAACTAATTAATCATGGCATGTGTAACTAGAACAGTCTATTCCAGTGAGCGAAATAAAGGGTTCAGTTCGACATTCCAACCACATGAAGAAGGCTGGAGCGTACAACGGCCGAAACGGTGTGATAAATATGGCGACAAAGATGAGGACAATAGTCCGAATAATGTAAATAGTGTACATAATACCTCATCTCAGAAATATAGACAGATACTAAAGGTTCGAAACGTTGTAATAAATATGGCGACAAAGACGAGGACAACAGTCTGAATAATGTAAATAGTGTACATAATACCTCATCTCAGAAATATAGACAGATTCTGAGAGCCCGAAACGTTGTAATAAATATGGCAACAAAGATGAGGACAATAGTCTGAATAGTGTAAATAGTGTACATAATATCTCATCTCTGAAATATAAACAGATACTGAAGCTGACAAATCCCATTCACATCAGTGGCTAAAATGTTTTATTCTTGCTGCATAAGAGCAATGCTTGCTAACTCGAAATTACCAAGCACACCACATACTGAAAAATTGTGTTAGCCTAAAATTCAGATTCTGTGATATCCAGAAACATTTGACCATTCATGACAGAGTGAAGCAATATCAGCAATATGGAAAGGAAACTGCAAGAAATTGGTACGAACTACACCCAGACCAGGTTACAGATATAAGACCTGTTACAATTTTATGGGATTTGACAATACGCACAGAGAGAACAATCAAAACTAATCGCCAAGACATCGTGATTAGAAATCGCACACAAAAAAGGTACCTTCTTATTGACAAGGCATTTGTGACGAAAGACATGACTTACCACAGAATTCGAAAAGTGATCACAAAAAAGAAATATGGCCGCTATTGAAGACACAATTAATGCGCGCCTATCTCGTCCAAAACGAGACGATATTTGCACACATGCAAATTTTGGCCGTATTGGAATAGCAGCACGACTGAATTGGGAGTCATTCGGCGGACTGCGTGCAATAGGCGAAGTAGGTGCGGCTGAGTTGGTGTCTGTTTCCCAGTGTAACGGCTGAGTCACGCAATCCATTTCCTTGAGGCGACCGAAGAAGAAGAAAAATCGCTGGCCTGCCGGCGAGCGACGCACTGCACTTTTTGAAACAACCCCCTCATTATTTTTCTTTCTCCTACAGCATTCCTTGCAGACTATAATGTATCTTTGAAGATCTTTAATAAACAATGAAAAAATCTAATATATATATAAATATATATATATATATATATATAATTATATATATATATATATATATTTCACCGAGAACATCAACTATTTCAGTTGTAGTTGGAGCCGTCGGATGGATTGGAAAAGGTTCCGATAGACTCATTGAAATTATTCCAGAAAGCACATTTTCTTAAAAGAAATACAAATATTTATCTTTGTAAAATATGTGTTACCTTAATTTATTTTTTACAACAATGATCAACAAAGGAAATAATAATAATAATACTAATAATAATAATAATAATAATAATAAACAGAATTTCCTTTCTTATTGATATGCTAGTCCCTGCAGGTTCTAATGTATCATTGAAGATCCTTAAAAAACTATCAAAATACAAGGATCTTGAAATCGAATTCTCAGAAACGTGGCATATGAGGATATCTACAATTCCAGGTGTAGTTGGAGCCCTCGGATTGATTGGAAAAGTTTCAGACAGAACATTTAAAGGATTTCTGGTAGCACAAGCCTCAAAGAAATA